TCACTTTAATTTAAATTATAAGTAAAATACCTACTGGATATTAAGGGCCAGTGATGCTAGTAATGCTTGGTTACTTATAGTGGATTTGGAACAAGCTTTGCTGCTGCTTGGTACTTTTGGGAAAGTAAATTTTAAATAAGGAAAAAGGATAAAATCCTCCTCCTCATGCAGGTTGAGGGTATTTGAGACTTTGTTTTATGCTGTGGCGCTAATGCAGTAAAGCTTATCTTCATCCTTCAGTGCAAACTCTGAACTTAATGGTAAACTCACCAATGCAGCCATGAATAACTACGCGAAAGGGACCAAGTAACCTTCTCCATTGGATCATATGAACTGGAACCATAAACTCCCTGAACATTAAATCTCACCAAATGAGGGTCAATCCATCCTCATCATCATATCCACTCATTATACTCCACACCCGAACATAGCCACTCTATGAACTTCATACCCTCATATCTCAATGCCTGTACTTTGACCCATCAACCTTTTACCCCCAATCGGGGATATTGCAGATTATGTATTCCTCATGCCACCTGATCTTAAACCAAACTTTGCACCCTCGATAATCTGTATGTTATTCCCTGATAACCAGAAACGTCTATGCTCAAACTCTGTTCACTATTTTTTTTAACATCATCTTAATAAAATTATTAAACGAGCAGTACCTGTAATACTGTACTATTATCTGATTAGTGATCTCTCCTTGTACATGTCAGTTAAAACTATGAACTTGGCACCAAGACACCTCTGTCATCTTCCTAGCTCCATGTATATACCGACTTGCTGTGTAATTTTGAAACACGGGTTAAAATTTGTGACCTTGAAAATGAGCAGACCAGTATGTTCCTCACAGGAATGTGTGCCGGTGGCTTTACTAACTAACATTTGTGAAATGCTTTGAGAACTTTGTATATCCCCTGTGCCTTTCATCTAAAGTCTTTCTGAACATGACATTTGTATTACACTCAAGATAATGGGGTATATTCTCTCCTGTGCTAGCACAGGAGGTGTGTCAGAGAGTAAGGGCCAACCCTGGTCCCAACACAACTTAGATTGGTTGATGAGGCACTAAAGCTTCATGGTCCAGGGGATTAGGCACTGGACTGGGGATCTGGGTTCTAGCCATGGTTCTAGGGCTGGCCAATAACCTTGGGTGAGTCACTTCAGTACTCTGTGCGTTAGTTTCCCCATTTGTAAAGTGAGGATACTGATACCTTCCTTTGTAAAATGTCTTGAGATCTATGAACGGAAAGTGGAATATAAAAGCTAAATACTATTATATGAGTGGCAGGTCCAGAGGTATGTTACATAATATGCTTTATTGAGTCATCTTGCTGGAATAACTTGTGATCCCAAGTATTTAAAGATCCATCTATTTGACTACATGAGTGTTTATACCTCTTTCAACTAAGAGATCCAAATGAAAGATGCAAGGCTCAGAGAAGGCTTGCACATTTGTGATTCTTCCTGCAGAACTCTGGCTCAGTAAATCAATAAGTTAGAAACAGAGTTTTTATATGTAATGGATATAATCTTGCTCCGGTGTTTCTCATGCCATTGCTCAGTCCAGCATTCATCGACTTTACTAGGTAAACAGCATTTCTCCATATGAACACACCTTGCCGTCTGCTTAAGGACTAAGGCTCTGAGAGTGTTCACCTTCTACTGTGACTATAAAAGCACTTCTATAAACAAAGAGGGCAGATGCTCAGCTGGTATAAATTGTCCTACCTTCATTGACTTCAGTGGAGCTCTGATGATTTACACCAGCTGGGGATCTGCCCCGGAGTAGCTAAAAGTGATATTAGAATTTAGCAACAGATTTTCTTTTCTCCCCATCTCACAAATGTTGCTCCTTCATTTACTCTGATAACTTTTCACCATGATGAAAAATATTCTTGTGGGATTGGGTGGACAAGTAACAGTACTCGGTGCTTTAGAACAGTGGTTCTCAACCAGCAGTCTGGGGCCCCCTGGGAGGCTGTAAGCAACTTTCACTGGGTCCGCCAAGCAGGGCTGGCATTAGACTTGCTGGGGCACAGGGCAGAAAGCCCAAACCCCACTGCATGGGGTTGAAGCCCAGGGTCCAAGCCCCACCATCCAGTGCTGCAGCCGAAGCCTGAGCAACTTAGCTTCATGAGGCCCCCTGTGGCGTGGGGCCTTGGGCAATACCCTGCTTGCTACCCCCCAATGCTGTTTCTGGCTTTTATATGCAGAAAAACAGTTCTTATGGCACAGGTGGGCCGTAGAGATTTTATAGCATGTTGGGGGGTGGGGGGGGAAGAGGGGGGCTCAGAAAGAAAAAGGTTGAGACCCCCTGCTTTAGAATAAAACGGTGTGAAACGTTACCTCCTCACTTAAAAAGCTTCATACTAAGTATGTTGCATAAGGGCCTAGAAGAATGGCACTTTTAAAAATATACGAAGGACCGTATTCAGCCCTGGGATGAGCAGGCCCAACTCAGTTCATTTAAACAGAGTTGCACCCATTTAGACAAGGCCAGAACTAGGGACAGAGGTGGCATAATGCTATTTTTGCCCTGGCCTTCTCTCCTGGGCTGTGACTTCTGTGCTGCATGAACTTTATTTTTTAAATTAAACTAAAGGGCCACACCCTGCTCCATTCACTTATGGGAGCAGTTCTGTTGAGGGCAGTGGGCCTAGTTGTGTTACTGCTCGAGACAATGGGAAGGAAATGAGCAGGATTCACCCAACGTTTTATTTGTACCACATTCTATCGAAAGATCTAGATCATCTGAGCTCTTGCTTCAGCCACTTTTCACATCTGCTAGCCTGGAGCAGCCACTTAACGCTGGCTTAACTGCTGATTGCCCTCGGGCCAGTGACTTCTATGCCATTTCCCCTGCTTGACCCTGATATAGGGCACATTGCTGGAGAGCCTTTCATTCCTGATTCCTTGGCTGCTGTCATGGTCCCTTGGTGTTAGATGGTGTTAGTCCTAGGTGGGGCCTTGGGGAAGGGATGGAGTGGGGGCGGGGCCTGGGGCACAGCCAGGGGTTGAGCACTCCCCAGTACTTTGGAAAGTCGGCGCCTATGGTTCTATGAGTGAAATAGTCTACTTCCCTCAATGGATCTTTGAGCTATGGTTGTTAGCTCACATTCTATCCCTTACCCTACTCCTAGTCTATGTAACTGGCAGGATTTGGAGGAGCCAGAAGAGAAGGCAAGTGGAAGTGTGGTGGCCACCATTTCAGCTGGCACTCCGGGGATCGAACTCTGGACTTCCAGAACTAAAAGTATAAGCGGCTGCGGTTTGAACTAAAGATTCCTAGTTGTGACACAGCCCCATATCACCTGTGTGTTGGCATATGAGTGGCATGAAGACCTGTACCACACAGTCACCAGTGGTTTACAGAAGCAATGGGGGGTAAATCTGTCTCTTTTCCATTTTTTATGAGCCCTCTGTGGCTCTTCCCTTTATGTTTTTGCAACTTGGATGCACAAGCCTAATAGATTTTCTTTCTTATTTGCACACAGCTCAGTGGAGGCAGTATAGGAGCCAGAGTTGCTTGCCAAACAGTGAGCTTACCATCCAGTAACATATAAAGTGCAGAATTCTCAGCAGGGTTTTCTTCAGATTATTTTATTCAACAGGTAAGTTTTTTGGTCAGCAAATTCAAAAAGGCCTTTATTCAGACTGTCAGAGGCAAAACATAGTACAAATTAAATGAGTGTCACCAACAATCAGTTTAAAACGAAAAGGTACATCAGGTACAATAAGAGCTTAACCCACACTAACCTGAGGCAGAATATCATAACGAATCAAGCTATAGAACATAAAGTTTCACAGAATAGGCTAGTGTTAGGAATATTAACAACAATGTTCCCATTTTCTGAGAAAGTTTAGTTTGAGTCGTGCCAGCTGGTCTCAGTATGACGCAGCAGCCATTGCAAAGATAAGACAAAGTTAAACTAAGAAAACACTTACAAAGATCGTAATATTTCAGAGGTCATTGGATGCTGAGTGCCTATAGTGATCAAATAAATAACCTAGACAAGAGCACTATAAATGACAGCAAAATGTTCCAGGAAACAACAAACAAACTAATGAAGTGTTTTGAGACTAAAGCAAATTGGTTCCTAAGAGGCAAATCAATAGATTTTGAAATGTCTGAAGAGAATATATAACAGAGTTTATTTGCATATGCCTTGTATACAGTTTCTATTTGCCTATAGTTCTTGATTTTTACAGTAAGAAAGTATTTGAAAGGAACCAAAAGGTAATATAAAATTTCAGCATGATTCAGTGTTTTCACATCTAGAATTGTCTGTCCATATTGCCTGTCCATCATAGTATATAGAAAACACTTACAATGTACGTTCAATGACATACACTATTTGAAGGTCACTTATACGTTTTGCTTCTATGAAAAACACAGGCCACTTTTAAATATTGTAGTTTAAAGCATGCTACACATTTTTAAAGGCTGCCAGCTTGCACATAGAGTGTTTGAAAAAGTTATGCAAACAGTGGATTTGATTTTTCCTTCCATATCAGCAGGAGTCATTCCACTGAAGTCAATGCATTTACACCAATGTACAGCCAGTCTAAGCACACAGCAAAGCAGGCCCACTGTCCATATCCGTCACCCCAAGAAGATTGTATTTTACCTACACATTTTATTTCTGACAAATGTTTTTCCCAGTCAAATTGCTGTCTGTAAAAAGTCTGTTTCCATTTACTTCTCAGCATAAGACAAAAGCTAAGTCAAAGTGCAATGTATTTGAGCTGTTTTCTAGGTTTCATTCCAAGTTTTCTTTGAAACCCTCTAGTAATAGATCTAATTGGTACCTTCTCATCAAAAGGTGACTTTCTGTGATTTTCTTTATTGATTTAACAATACATTTCTCAACATATTATAATTACAAAGTTACTTCAGTGATATGATGTCCATACACCACAGATAAGAGTATAAATGCCTAATTAGATCACACCACTTTAACTTAGCAGTGAGCTGATTAGTTCACACTGTTGCTTAAACAATATGTAATCGCGTTGGTTTTCTTAAAGGAATATTTCAGCATCTCAGGTGAAATATTTGCTTTCATCAGTTAAAGATTCTCTTAAGTTGCTTTACAAGCAGCAGCACAAGTGTCAATATAGTCCTTTCTTTGGATTTTTTAGATGTTTGTGAAGGTACCTACAACATGTTGTTACTTGTCAGTGTTCTGATCCCTCTTAGAAATGAACAGCGTTAAGTAGCTATCACTCAAGATAGCCCCTTTAGATTATACGGACTTGGTTGACAATGGCATAAAAATAAAACACTAGGGTAAAGAGAATATTACATTAGTCTGTCTAATATAGCATTTACTTAATAGATTCATTTTTTCAGAGTGATTGAACTCTGAGCTATTTTGCAGAACGCTCTGGCTTCACTTCTGTTATCACCGTGTAAGCAACAGCAAATGATAAATCGCCTCCCCTTTTTCCTTTTGAAAAACTTTCTAAAGACATCAAGTAAAATCTCTCTTTTTATTGGTTTTATTTTTTCTGTACCCTTCCTTCCTTCACAGACTGTAATGTGGAGCTGCTGATTCAGTTTAGATACATACACCCAGTGTGTGTATACCCTTTCCATACCAAATACAAAACTGGACATTTACAGAATGCACCGTCCCACACTCATGCCATAACAACAACATACTAACTCTTTGAACGTCTTTCTCATTTCCAGACTCCGGAAAGCATAAATTAGGGGGTCGATGACTGAATTGCACATAATCAGGACCAAATATGTGTTGAAGTGTGAGGTGTAGCAAACACAGTGTGGGTTTGTGGGGCAAGAAATGATGAGGATGAGATGAAGGAAGAAAGGTGCCCAACAAACAATGAAGACCCCAAGTAATATAGTGATTGTCACAGCCCCCTTCATACAGGTCCGCTGATGAGGAACCCCATCCACTGGGAGGGCAGCAATCCGTTTAACATGCAGGCGTGCAAACAAGAACATGTGAACATAAAGGGAGGCCATGAGAAGAAGCATGGTAAAGAACATGGTGATGAGACAGACAATGACAGTTTTGCTTTCCGAGTAGACAATGAACATGATGCCGCAGATTATGCAAGCAATCCAAATAACCACAATCAGAGCTAAGGCTTTCTTTACAGTCATGATGCTGTGATAACGAAGAGCGTAGAAAATAGTAATGTACCTGTCAATAGCTATAACCAAGAGGTTGCAAATTGAGGCTACCAAAGAGATACAGATCATTGAGTCAAAGACATTGTCCATATGCTGAATAAAGTGGTCATCAATGATCAAGTAGCCATTGCTCAGGATTGCAATCATGATAGTCTCCAGGGCATTTGACATGCTCACTAGCATGTCTGCCGCTGCCAAGCTGCACAGGAAAAAGTACATGGGGGAATGTAGGTTTCCATTCTTCAGCACCGCAAGGATTACGAGGATGTTTTCCAGCAGGCTGATGATCCCTAACGTCAAGAAGACCTCGGCTTTAATGAAGACTTGCTCACAAAATCCATTGCTGCTCCTGTTGCTGAGGAGGATTGAGTCATTGAAGTCCTCAGTGGTATTAACCAGCACAGGCTGAAATGTAAGCGCACAGGGTGTAGTATTCATTATCAACACGGGACTTGATTTCACACACGATTACGGAACTGGCATCAGTTCAGTTTGAAAAAAAAAATCCTTCCAAACTGTCTCTGGGTTTATCAAATGGGATCAGATAGGGCTTTGTTTTTGTTGTTAAAAATATAAATGTATAAAGTCTTTTTGTTGTAAAGTGAGTTTTTTGTCAAACATTCAAAGACTATTTTTCTCCCTGAAATCAAAGTGAACAGCAAATTTCGCAGTCATCCGTCTGGGGAGAAAAAAACAAAATCAGCAGCACTTTTACTCTCTTTCTAGTTCTCCTGCTGATTAAAAGTGAATAGCTTTCTTATCTGTTACCATGAGCTGGGACCACTGCAGGGCATCCTGGTTGGAAATCATGTTGCAGCTCAGTGAAATACCTCTTGCTGTTCAAGTGCAAGAAGGGGGGAAAAAAAAGAAAATCAAGGAATTTATACATTCATGAAAGGAAAAACAACTCCTACTTTGTCTCCTGTACAGCACAATGGCCATTAGAGAGCAAGCTCCTTCCTGATTGACAGCTACAAACACCAGGTACAGCATCCCCATTGAAAAGTCCTCTTTAGTCAGATGTGAAACTATTTGGTGCCCTCTGCAGATCAGAGATATAATCTGTTTTCATTTTAAAATATAGAACTGGCTGCAAAACAGAGGCTCAGTGGGCGTGAGAGGATGGGGCGGGGGAGCCATTTGCTGCTCCCAGAGGTGTTGCTCCAGAATAGGGGAGCAACTTGCAATAGTGGTAGGACAGCCAAATATGGCTACCTGCCCCTACTGTGAAGGAGACCCCCAACCAGTGCCTTCTGGTTCCATCTGAGAAAAAGGCACCCAGAGGTGCTGAGGGTGTATTAAGGAACCCATCCCAGAGACACCAATCCCATACCAGCTGCCTCTATCCAACCCAATATTGCAAGGCTCCTGAGCCCCCCAGGCCCTTATGTCCTCAGGTGTGGCCCCCAGACCTCGCCGGGGCCCAGTTCTGGAGGAGTGGGACTGGATGTTGCTGTGCCTGCAAGCCATGAGGGAGCAGGGTTCTAACTTAGCTGTTTTCTGATGGCGGGAGGGGAAAGGAGGAGCTGTAGGCTGTGCTGGATGCTTTGGGTGTCATGTTCTTCTGTATCATCTGTAGACTGGTCACTGAACTTGCTTAGCCACATCAGATGTGTTCCTCATAAGATCTTTTAATGCTCTGCCAGGTATAGCAGAGGTTCATTTAAATAGGGTATTTTACACACCGTCCCAGCTAGTGGCTGAACAGTATAATACAGCATTCCACGAAGTGGGAGTGGGTGGTCCTGGCCTGGCAATGGGGGCCTAACAGTGCCCCCATACCCAGTATCGGTGTGATGATTTGGGGAATCTATGCGCAGCTTAGGAATTCTGGTTGATCTTATGATATTGCTGTATCATTGATATCATTGAATATAATTGAATATCTCGGGGCTAGTCTACTCTTAAAACACTACAGTGGCATAGCTGCACCGGTGTAGCTGCACCACTGTAGTGCTAATCAGTGTAGCCCAGTGTTTCTCAAACTGGGGCCACCGCTTGTGTAGGGAAAGCCCCTGGCGGGCCGGGCTGGTTTGTTTACCTGCCCCGTCCACAGGTTCGGCCGATCGTGGCTCCCACTGGCTGCGGTTCGCTGCTCCAGGCCAATGGGAGCTGCTGGAAGTGGCATGGGCCGAGGGACGTACTGGCCGCTGCTTCCAGCAGCTCCCATTGGCCTGCAGCGGTGAACCGCGGCCAGTGGGAGCCACGATCGGCTGGACCTGCGGACAGGGCAGGTAAACAAACCGGCCCAGCCCGCCAGGGGCTTTCCCTGAACAAGTGGCGGCCCCAGTTTGAGAAACACTGGTGTAGCCACTCACGACAACGGCAGGAGGGATTCTCCAGTCAGTGTAGTTAATTCACCTCCCTAGCTGATTACAATGATCCCTTTTGGCCTTAGAATCTATGAATCTAGGAACCTGGATTTACACTGGGAGAAAACAGCATAAACCGGTCTGAAACTGGCCTGATGTATTCAGATTGACTGAACACAACATTTTTCAGATGCATTCACCTAAAATCATTTCACTCCTCCTGAGCCAAAGAAGAGTCTGGGGCAGATACTTATGACTCAGGTTATACTTGAATAAAATTAATGAGAAAGAACTGAAGTCTATTTCTTTCATTTTCTTGTATGCTATAATACTATGTGGTGATATTTCATATTCTTTGCCACTGAAGTGCAACACAAACCATTTGTATTCATCTAGCTTTCCTGTCCAGCTGGCCCAAAGGGTTTTTAAGCCCTCGAAATTCTGATTTACCATTGAAACGCTAATGGCACATTCTAATGATCCTCCATGTTTTTAATTTCATATAATGGCTGCACTCAAATTATACATGCACATGTGCCTCTTGCTTTCACTAATTTTTTTGTATAAGATTTTTTCCCACTTGAGAAGTATCTCTCATGTATTGTTTACTGTTAGTATTGCCATGAAAAAATAACAGAAAGTATCTAAATAAATTGATTGATGAAAGTCTCTCAGTAACTGCACACACGCTTCCTGTTTCATTTCAGAAATGCTTTTGTCTAATTGTCACAGAAGCTAGCCATCATGTTTCTTGTTTTGTCTTCTTTTTATCAGAGTCGCTTGGTATTTGTTTACAGCATTTTGCTAGTTTCTTGTTTGTTCTGTTCTCAGTCATGCCAGTGCAATGCCAGTAACTTCTGCAGAATAACCAAGAGCAGAATTTGGCCCAATAGTTACTGATTTTAGAAAGGACAGATGGCCTTGTCATGAAAGCACCAGACTGGGATCCAACAGATTTGGCTCTAATTGCCTGTTCTTCCATAGACTTCCTGTGTGACCTTGGACTAGCTGCTCAGTCTTTCTAGGCTTCATTTTTCCTACTGGAATATGGGGGTAATAATACTTCTTTTCTACCATCCTTTGTCTCTGTTTAGGTTATGAAACTATTTGGGGAAGCAGCTGTCTCTTGTCTGTATGTTTTTACAATGCCTATCATAATGGGACCGCAGTCTGAGTCCGGGCCTTTAGGTGTTGTAAACCAAAAAATAAACATCCTCACCGCAAATGCTGAGGTTTATACAATGTCAGAGGCTGAGACAATATTGCCTATTGGCTGGAGCACTGGACTGGGACTCAGGCGACCCGTGTTCAATTTCTGCCTCTGCTACTGGCTGTTGGGTGACCTTGGGCAAGAAACTTCTCTACCTCAGTTTCCTCATCTGTAAAATGGGCATAATGGAACTGCTGTTGGTTGTGACATCCTTGGAGATCTGCTGATGAAAAGTTAGGCATTGTTATTAAAAATGTAACCATTTTCAGACAGTATTGACATTCTGAGCCAAATTTTCAGAGGAGCCTCAGAAACAGCCTACAAACTCGATGCATGTGTACGTTCTGAATTGATATGAGAGGCTCCTGTAATCCTTTCATACTGATACTGAGCCCTGCTTGCTCTGTCTATGTTGATTCTCTCTCTGTCCTGGCTTGCAAATCAACCTTGGCTCAGATTTTCAAAAACCGCTTGGCTGTGCAATTGAATGTGCACCATGGGTGTGTTAAGTGTGTGCTAGTTTGCTCATATATGCTATGGTAGCATGCACACATCAGGTATCAGCATGCACAAATGGCTAATTGGGCATCTTTGTCCATTCATCCATTTGCATATCAAATGTAATTTTGTGTGCATTTTGTACAGGCAGGTACATATCTGAAGTTTTTAAAATAGCAGACCCCTTCTCTGTTTTAATTCTGCAGAACTCAAAATTGCTATTTTATAGTAAGTAAGGCAGCCTGTGAATTTTTGCCCTAGATTCTCCATTCAAACTTGTAGACAAATATATTGATATTGAGCCGCTTAGAGAGTTCAGATGCTACCCTAACGATACATTTTGAAGTGTTGAATCCTGCTGTTCTGTAGTGTGAAAATGCCCTACAATAACAAATGACCCAGTTAGGATGGATTTTCAAAAGCACCATAGTAACCAAGTCTGACCTGTGCCTCATCGTGATGGAGATGATTGCTCATTGGAACTACGCCATCAGTGATGAAGGCTTGTCCGAAATATCGCCTTGGGCATTATGCGAGGTGGACAGATCCAACGTGAAACCTGAAAATGATGGCTAAGGCAGGCAGCGAAGATGCAGGGCAGCAGCTGCACCTAGCTACCCAAGGCAAAAGGAAGTCACTGAGAAAGACTCAATGCCTTGGGTCACACAGCGTGAAGCCAGTACTGGTAGACCAGGAAAAGGGTCGCATTACTGCGCCTCCAGCTCATCCCAGTGGGATGAGGTATTTCCTGGGATAATCGTTTGCTCTTGGTTTTTTTGACCATGAATAACCTAGTACTCCGCACCAGGGTTAAAGCCCCTGCCTTACTTTCAGCTGTAGATGCCTTGTCAGTGCCGTCTCCCCTCGGTGCAAAAATGAAAGGTTTGTGTCAAAGCCTCCCTGGGACGCACATCCTCTGATGTCGGCAAGCACGTCTGCAGTACATTGTGACAATGCATCCAATTGTATCTGGGATCTCCGATAGTCCACCAAAATTGCAACTTGGAATGTTGCAACTCTTCACAAGAATAATCATCAGGTTGCATGGATCGCTCATGATGGCGTCACTCAGAAGGAGTTGGACTACATCATTACACACGATAGGCGTCTCTTTGCCTCCTGTAGAGTATATTGTTGGTTGGAATGCACGGCAAACACAGATCACCATCTAGTGGTCGTCCATATGGTGTTGATGCTCCAACGAGCAGGTAAGCCCTCTGCGATGATGAAGAAGACATCAAGGCACTCCATGTGCCAGGTTTAGCCAACAGGTTTTGTATTGACGTCAGCAACAGATTTTTGGCTCTAGCCAATCTACCAGATGACGTAGAGGCTGCCCAGTCCCTGTTCACTTCTAACCAATCTGCTGAACAGACGATTGTCTATAGGCATCCAGCACGCCGACCATGGCTATCAGA